AAATTGTTAAATATCACAGACTATCAGCAGCTTCATTTCAGGAAAAAAAAATATCACAGCCTATCAACAAATTCATTTCAGGAAAACTTAAAAATACCACAATCAGCAACTCCATTTCATGTTTCATATTAGGAAATTGTTTAAAATATCAAAGACTATCAGCAGCTTCATTTCAGAAAAAAAAATAAAATATCACAATCAGCAACTTCATTTCAGAAAAAAAATACCACAGCCTATCAGCAACTTCACTTCAGGAAAACTCTTAAAAATACCACAGACTAACAGCATTCCGTTTCAGGAAAAAAATTAAAATAGCACAATTAGCAACACCGAAGCCTTTCTTAACCGAACCGAGCTTGCGCGTTCAACAAGCACTTGGCCGGGAAAGAGCGTGGAAGGGCTTGTCTGATTTAACGCTGTTTTTTCCTGGCTGTCATTGTGTCGGACACGGATGCTGGAGTCATATGGAGGGAAGGGGGAGGGAGAGGGGGGGGAGGGAGGAGGGAGGGAGGGGTGTAAGTGTGTGGGTGGGTGGGTGGGAGAGAGAAGTGTTTTAGTTGTTGGAGGGTGATTGTGTTTGTGTGTGTGTGTGTGTGTGTCGTGTGGGACAGTGAGTTTGTGTGTGCTTGTGTGTGTTGAGTTGTGTGTGGTGGGAGGTGAGTTTGTGTGTGTGTGGGTGTGTGTGTGCGTGGTGTGTGTGTGAGTGAGTGAATGGGCGTGGGTGTAGTTGCATGTGTGTGCCTGCGCGTGTGTGCCTGATCCTTCCTTCTTTCTCCTCCTTCCTCTCCACCCCCCCCCCCCCCCCCCCGATCCGCCACCTCTCTCTCAGGCTTTATCTGCTTCCCTCTTCTCTCTGCCTTCAACTTTCTCTTTCTCTTCTCGTGTATCGCTTTCTTCATCGCAGTCTGGCAGTCTGGTTGGTGATTCTCTCTCTCTCTCTCTCTCTTCTCTCTCTCTCTCTCTCTCTCTCTCTCTCTCTCTCTCTTCTCTCTCTCTCTCTCTCTCTCTCTCTCTCTCTTCTTTTCTTTCCTAACTATGCATAGTAATTTTTTATCTTTATTTCCATTTACCTAAAAATCCTGCCTACCGTGTGTGTGTGTGTTTATGCGTTTTGTGTTGTGTCTATGCGCGCTAGCGTTGTGTGTATGTGTGTGCCGTGCGTGCGTGCGTGTGCGTATGTGTGTGTCTCCCTCCCTCCCCGGCACAAGCGTCTGCACGAAAAGAAAGCACTCAAGCGTCACGACCAATGCCGTAGAGAGCGAAGACGATTTCCTCTCCGTCGGCGGCGAATGCCCGCAGCAGCTGCCACGGGGTCGCCGGGGATCATGTGTTAACAATTAGCTGACACTCTCTTTGTCTGCCACGCTGTCTTGGCCTCGCCTTCCTTGTCTCGAGAGGAGGCTCGGAGAAGGGAACGAGAGGGGAAAAGAGAGAGAGAGAGAGAAGGAGGAGAGAAGAATAGGGATTGAGAGAGTTGAAGAAAGAGGGAGGAGAAGAGAGTGAAGAAGAGGGAGGAGGAAAGAGGAAATGGGTGGTAATGTGAGTGATGAAGCGGGTATAAAAAGAAGGAGGGTGGGAAATACAGCAAAGAAATAAAAAAGAGAAGGAAGAAAAATTGAGGAAAATGGGGGATAAAGGCCGCGAAAAAAAGGAAAAAGAGAAAAGGAATATAAAGAAGAAAGTGATAAAGACGGAGGATTTTGGAGGGAGAATATTGTAGAGAATGATATAATAATGATTGAATAAGAAAAGATAGAATGAGTGGAAGAAAGAGGAATGATAATTGAATAAATCAAAAACAGACTGATCCAAGAAATTTATAAACAAGTAAATATATATATATATATTATTATATATATATATATATATATATATATATATATAATATAAAACATATATATATATATATATATATATATATATATATCAAATTCATAATATTATATATATATATTGTTGTATGTATGTATGTATTTCACCAGAAACGAAAGCAGAAAACTAAGAATGAGAGAATCAAACCCGAAATTTAAAAAGAATGCATTCTTGTTAAAAAATTTAAAAAATAAAAAATCTCATAAAACATTATAATTTTCACGGGGAATCAAACCGTTTAACAAAAGGACATGATGTGGGGGAAAATGTAAAGAAAAAGCGTCAAAAAAAAGGAATTATCGAATAAAAAATGATATGGGATTCAATATAAATATATACAGATGAATAAGAGACGAAAGAAATAAAAAAACAAAAATCCAAAATCTGAACGAAAAAAACAAAACAAAAATCAACCAAAACAAAATCCAAACACAGCAAAAATAAACACGAAAAACTCAAAAACTCAAAAAAATAAAACCCCGCAACTGCCCCGGTGCCGGACCCGCCAGCGCGCAGCCGCAGCGTCCGCCCGGTCAGCCACCGCCGGACGGAACACTTGCTCTAGTTGCTAAGTACGGACGCCCTGCTCGCCTGTTGTCCCCTTGCCCTTTCGCTCTCTTTCTTCCTCTCCGGGTCTCGTTCTGTTTGGTTTGGGTGTTTCTCTGTTTTGGCTGTTTTGTCTGTTTGTTGTGTTCTGTTTTTTGGGCTGTTTGTGCGTGTTTGTTTGTGTTTGGGTGTTTCTGTTTTTTTTGGGTGTTTTGTTTTGTTTTTTTGGCTGTGTTCTGTTTTTGTCTATTTGTGTTTCTTTTTTTGGCTGTTTATGTGTTTCTGTTTTTTGGCTGTGTTTACTGTTTTTGTCTATTTGTGTTTTCTGTTTTTTTGGGCTGTGTGTTTCTGTTTGGTGTGTTTCTTTTTTTTTTTGGCTGTTTTGTTTCTGTTTTTTGGCTTTGTTTCCTGTTTCTGTTTTTTTTTTTTTTGGTGTTTTTCTGTTTTTTTTGGCTGTTTGTCTGTTTTTGTCTGTTTCTGTTTTTTGTCTGTTTTGTGTGTTCTTTTTTCTCTGTCTGTTTGGTTTGTTTGTTTTTCTATCTCGTAGTTTGTTGTCTATTTCTCTTTGTGTGTTTGTCTATTGTGTCCTCTTTTTTTTTTCTGTTGGTCTGTCTATTCCTATGTATCTCTAACTTCTGTTCGTTCGTTGTCTATTTCTGTTTCTCTATCTCATTCTCTCTCCCTCGCTCTCTCTCTCTCTATCTCTATCTCTCTAACCTATCCATCTAGTTATCTTTCCTTCTCTCTTTCCCTGTAACTTTATTTTTACTCTGTCTATATAGCCCCATCCTCTCTCTCTCTCTCTCTCTCTCTCTCTCTCTCTCTCTCTCTCTCTCTCTCATCTCTCTCTCTCTCTCCCTCTCTCTCTCTCTCTCTCTCTCCTCTCTCTCTCTCCTCTCCTCTCCTCTCTCTATCTCTCTCTCCCTTCTCCGCTCGCCCTCGCCCTCTCCCTCTCCCTTCCCCTCCTCTCCCTCTCCCTCGTGCTTCTTTTTATATAAGCAAAACACATACTCCATGGATGACGCATGTAAACAAGGATGCTTGATAAAGGGTTATGCCAATAAAGATGTCAACTAAGATTTATGATAATACCGACGGTCATTTAGCTACGTAGAAGAATTTGCATGCACTTAACTTAAATATGTGAATATTTAACGTATATGTAAACGTGTTGTATTGTATGTATAGGTGTGTGTGTGTGTGTTTTGTAAGTATTTTCTTGGTGTGTGAGTGTGTTTGTGTGTGTATGTTTCTTTGTGTGTTCGTATGTTGTGTATGTGTTTATTTGTGTGTTCGTATGTGGTGTATGTTTCTTGTGTGTTCGTATGTGTGTTTATAGTTTCTTTGTGTGTTCGTATGTGTGTGTATGTTTCTTTGTGGTACGTATGTGTGATATGTTTCTTGTAGTGTGATGTGTGTGTATGTTTCTTTGTGTGTGAGTGTGTATGTTTTTTGTGTGTGAGGTGTATGTTTCTTTGTGTTTCGTATGTTTCTTTGTGTGAGTGTGTATGTGTGTGTGTGTGTTTCTTTGTGTGTTCGTATGTGTGTGTGTGTTTCTTTGTGTGTTCGTCTGTTTGTGTTGGTATGTTTCTTTGTTTGAGTGTGTTATGTTTCTTTGTGTGTGTGTATGTGTGTGTATGGTGTGTGCGTGTCTCATCGCTGAAAGATATCCCGAGGCATTGTGTGACTCAGACCCTCCTATTCTCTGGTCAGCATATGGCTATTTCCTCTGGTTCATGACACAGAATCCTGCTGCAATAATCTAACGCATGATACGGAAACCTGATACAGTGACCTTTGGCATCACAGGAACTCCCCTCGCTCCCTGCAACCCGTCTGATCAGCCAATTGTTGCTGTTGTTGATTGTTATTGGTTGTTTCTCCTTCCTTCCCTGTTGCTGAAGTGGTGTTCCTCAAGGCTGTTCTCGTGCCTTTTTTTTTTTTTTTTTTTTTTTTTTTTTTTTTTAGGTACCTTCCAACGATTTTTTATTACTTTTTATTGTTATCTTTACGTCATCTTTTCCTTCTTTATTTTGGTTATTATTATTACTGTGTGTGTGTGTGTAACCATTATTATTATAAGATAATGTATTTATAACCAGCCTGGAGGTCGTCTATTCCATTATCTTATAGTTGTAAATAGGAACTATATTCACCTCTCTCATCCCTACTTTAGTGCGTCCAATTCATAGAAAAGGACAAACCGGCAACTCCTACCTGATTCGGAGATGTTCGATTCGTCGGCTTTTTATCTTCCTTTTTTTTTTTTTTTTTTTTTTTAGTCAACCCACATTTATGCTTCTGTTAACATGTTTGTTTATATGTAAACTTTACATATGATGTCTTCACTTCCTCACACCACTTTATTTTTGTTTTATTTTCTCTCTCTCTCTCTCTCTCTCTCTCTCTCTCTCTCTCTCTCTCTCTCTCTCTCTCTCTCCTCTCTCTCTCTCTCTCTCTCTCTCTCCCTCTCCTCTCTCTCTCGGATGAGTTCTGCTGAATCGGAGCATTCCAGAGTCCGCAGAAAGTTGCCAATTCTCGACGGAACTCGCTGACGAAAACCTCCCTCTCCCCAGGCCATGATGGACAGGGAGAAGAAGGACGAGCTCCCGAAGATGCAGGTGGGCTTCATCACGTCCATCTGCCTGCCGCTGTATAAGGTGGGTTCCGGGTCCAGGATTTCTCTCTTTTGGAAGGGATAATAACGATAAAAATTATTTTAAAATAGGGAAAAGGATATTAATGATGATAATGATTTTTTTAAATAATCATATCAGTTATAATAATAATAATAATGAAATAACAATAGTATTGATCAGGATAATAGAAATTTATTATAATTATACAAGCTAAGATAAGTAACTATATAACTGTATTCATCTTCATCGCTTCTCCTTCGATGTTTCACTATATTATTATTATTATTATTATATCATTATCATTTATGTATCTTTTTCTTGTCATGGTATAGTAAGAATACCTACTCTCTATTATCATACATTATCTTTCTTGATAAGTTATATAAATTGTAATATATACATGTACAGTGTGTATACATGTATGTGTATACATGCATATATATAAATGCATATTTAAATGTGCACACACACACACACACACACACACACACACACACACACACACACACACACACACACACACACACACACACACACACACACACACACACACACACACACACACACACACACACACACACACCACACACACACACACACACAACACACACACACACACACACACACACACACACACACACACACACACACACACACACACACACACACACACACACACACACCACACACACACACACACACACACACATATATATAGATATAAACGCGCATGCGCGTGTGTGTCTTCACGGCATACTTAAAAGGCTAGATTTTGATTCGAGGGCAACTTTGCAGTTTCTTAAAATAGCCTGTTTTCTATTACGTAACCCAGCTTAAACATGCTAATGCCATAACACGCAAAAGAAAACAGTTTTAACGAGTGATAACAAAACTGTACATTGGATAATTGCCTTCTGTGCCCTGTAGTTTCCCGTGTGTGCTAACAATACACGTAATTCTTTTATTACGTTGAACATGTTTTGCGTTCGGTCCGTCTGGCGCTTACTCACTCTCGCAAGAAGTAAATTTCCTCGTTTTACCTCCTGTACTTTTTACTTCTCACGTAACACTGTACTCAGGGATATCAGTTAACTTCACAGTGTTATATTATATTAAGTGACTGATGACTTACTCTCGTATTACAATATCACAATTAAAGTTTCAATAAACAAAAGAAAAATAAACATGGAATTATACCCTACTTTAAGAACATAGATTGATATTAAAATTGGTGAGATTTGTGTAATTCCACCATGTATTTAATTATAAAGCTAAAATCAGATAACAATGGTAATTTTAGAAATATAAGAAGTGTGAAGATAAGAGGTTACAAAACTACTTGTATATTAATTCAGCGTTGAATTGAACAATGAATGCAAGTATGATAACAAATATAAAAAGATTCAAAACTCGAATACAAGATATTTTTTAAAAATAATAATAATTAAAAAATTAACAAATAAAAAACATGATAAGGTATAGGACTGCGGCTGACCCACAATCTTGGTCTATAAACCTTAATGAAATAAGGAGTACACAGCACCTCCTTGTCCAGAACTTAATCCAATCTTGCTTCATAAGAATTCAGCAAATTATGTACCTTGTCGAATCATTCATTTTCATTCACAAATTTCTCCCTTTCTTATTGACACTTTTATTTTTATTTTCTTCACATCTTTTCAAACTTTTTCATTCACCTCCTTTTTTTCTTTTCTTATTTTTCTTTTCATTTTTTTACTTTTCTCTCTCATATCTTTTATACTCTTTCCTTCCATACTTTTTTACTTTTCCCCTTCACACCTTTTCTACCTTTTTCATTCACAATTATTTCTCATTCTCACCGTTTCTACTTTTCCCATTCATAGTTTTCGTTGCCTTATTCATTTATTTGTTTATTTCTATTCAATCACGCCTTCTCTATATTTTCCATTCATACCTTTTTTTTACTTTTCTCAATCACTTTAGTTCTTGCCTTTCCCATTCACACTTTATTTATCTGTCTATCAATTTCCATTTCTTGTCCACACGTTTTTTACCTTCCCCATTCTTACCTTCTATGCCCTTCTCGTTGATTTTTTCTCTTCTCTTCTTTTTTACTTTTGTCATTTATTTTTATGTTAATTTCGTCCATAATTTGTTTTTACTTTTCTCACTCGCACCTCTCTACCTTTCCTTTCATACTTATTTATTTATTTGTTTACTTTTTTCAGTCACACTTTTTACCGTTTCCATTCGTACTTTATTATCACTTTTTTCTCATTCACACCAGTTCTACTTTCCCCATTCGCTCTTTCTTTTACTTTTCTTATCCACATATTTCTACCTTTTCCGTTCATACTTTATTTTATTATTGATATAGTTTTACCTTTCTTTTCCACACCATTTCTACTTTTCCCATTCAGACATTACTATTACTTATTTATTTATTTTCATACACACCTATTCTGGCTTTCCCTATTACACCTTATTATTGTTTTTCTCATATACATCTTTTCTACCATTACACTTTATTGATGTATTTATTTTTCTACTTTCATATTTCATCCATTCTCACCTTCCCATACCTTTTTTCACTCTCATCCACACCTTTTCTACCATTCCCATTCACACTTTATCCATCTATCTTTTTATTTCTTCTTCTTCTTTATTTTCTTTTTACTTACTCTCTCTCCATCTTTTTCACTCTCATTCACACCTTTTCTTCCATTCCCATTCACACTTTATCCATCTATCTATCATTCCATTTTCTTCTTTCTTTTTTATTTTCTTTTTACTTTTTTTCTTTTTTCACTCTCATATAACCTTTTCTACCATTCCCATTCACACTTTATCCATCTATCTACCATTCCATTTTTCTTCTTCTTCTTCTTATTTTCTTTTTACTTACTTTTTTTCTTTTTTCACTCTCATACACACCTTTTCTACCATTCCCATTCACACTTTATCCATCTATCTACCATTCCATTTATTCTTCTTATATTATTATATTTTATTTTAGTCTTCATTCTATTCTTCTTCTTCTTCTTCTCATTTTTCTTTTCCTACCATTTTTCTTTTTTTCCAATTCACACTTCGTTCTCCTACTACAGGCGCTCTCCGAGTCCTTCCCGTGGGTGAAGCCCTTGTACGACGGGTGCGCGAGGAACCAGGAGCAGTGGAAGAGGCTGGCGGAGCAGGTGGACATGGGGCTCACCTGGATCGACCACGAGTACATCGAGAAGCCGGTCGAGAGACATGAACTGGAGGGTGAGTTTTGTAGTTGTTTTTCTCTTTCT